TATATTTATTCTATTAATATATATTTTTATTATATAATATTATAAATATCTATTACATAAATAAAATATGATATATAATAAAATATATTATATATTATACAGAAAAGTATATTATATATTATATAATAAAATAGATACATATATCATATATAACATAATATAAAATTTAAGATAGTGTATTTTATATTTATTTTATTGATATATATTTGTATTATATAAGATATATTATATAGTGAATTATTTTATTAATATTTATTTTTATTATATAATATACATAAAAATAATATTATATATATATATGTATAACATAACATTGTACTTTTTATTTATTTTATTATATATATATTATAAATATTTATTATATAAATAAATATAATATATAATAAAATATATTATATATTATGCAATAAAATATATACATTATATATATGGGGGGATTCATAAAAAAAAAGTCCCAAGTTTAAATTCCAACCTTTGGGTTTGGAACTTTTTTTTTAAAGCAAGATTGGAACTTGAACCGTTCTTTGAAGTTCAAGTTTTGTTTGAAGTTCAATTTTTTTGTCAAACACGAAACTTGAACAGTATTAAGAAGTTCTAAACTTCCAAGAAGACACTTCCTGTTTTCAAACACGCTCTATAAGAACTTTCAAAGTTATCAAAAAATGAGAACCTTGACCTCAATGTAGCCAAAGTCCAGCTACCAAGGCCGCTCATAGAGCTATTTTGGTAATTCAAAAATAGGGTGAGTTTGGTATTTTAATTTTGGTTAATCAAATTAGGGCCAAAATATGAAAAAAACAAAAAAAAACCACCCAACATCTCTCTCTCGAATGGTATGTAATTTATATTGACCAGTACAATTTATATTGACTAAAGCAGTACACAAAGTATAAATTTTAACGAAAATTAATTGTTTCATGTTTATGGTATTGAAGCAAGGTTGAGCAACCAATAACAATGAAGAAAATAATTCTATCAGGATAACTCATTTCTGTGTATCAACCAAGAACAATGAAGAAAATAATTCTATTAGGATAACTCATATCTGTGTATTATTGTAGGAGACATCAAGAACATCAAACCAAATGGCTTTCATTAAGAAATTTCATGTCATGGCAAAAAGGACCTTTAAGCAGAGAGGTGGTCAAAGTCATGCAACATGACATTTAGAGTTTCATTCTCATCGCGTGAAGTTAACATTAAAAAATAAATAAAAATTTTTATAAATGATAAAAGTTTATAAATTAAAAAATGTGGAAAAGATCAAGATTGCAAATCACAGTGAAATAAACAACACGAGCTTAGAACTATATTGCAATCAACAGGAAGTGTTGTTGATGAAATTCTTGTACATCCAAACTTGATGTTGACTATTAATTGTTGGGCAATTAAGTACCATTTCATACATAACATTGGAATCTGATATATAATATTTGTTGGAAACTATTCTACCATTATTGTGATTAACACTAATGGGGAGCTACTTTTGTGATGTAAAATATGACAAACAATTCTTGATTTTGTTAGTCCTAATAATAATAATAATAAATAAATAAAATTGAAATCAACTTACTCTAATATGTCCTTAAATCGCACGAAGGACTTACGGTTCAATACCAAAACCTATAGACCAAGCCATCAGGTGACAGGCTACATTGGGAGTCCTCTTGATGAATCTCCTTCACCTTCTATGTAAGGGCCACGATTCAATTAAGCCTAACCTCTCGCAATAGTGAAGAGAAAGGAGCCTTAAGAGGTAGAAATGCATGCCCGGCAAATCTCTTTTAAGGGGGGGATGATGTAAGGGCCATGATTCAATTGCTCTGGCAATAGTGAATAGAAGGGAGCCTTAAAAGGTAGAAGTGCATGCCTGGCAGTGAGGACCAAAGGTGAGCATCGGCCGTATGGCAGTAGAGATGCCACGCATGCAAGAAGGAGCATTGTCGCGGAAAAAAAGGGCTAATGCCACGTGCAAAGTGGAATACCGCCGTGCACGAAAGAGGGGTATAGCTGGCAGGGCAACTAAACTTTTCGCCACCTGGATTAAGGACGCGACAGAGAGGAGAAAGAGAGAGGTGAAAGGCTATCGCCGTGTGGAAGGCAGAAGGCTATCGCCGTGCGGAAGGTGAAAGGTTATCGCCTCGGGGAAGGCGAAAGGCTATCGCAGCACGGGGAAGGCGGAAGGCTATCGCTGTGTGCGTTAAGCATTGAACGAAGGTCGACAGGGTCGGCACCACGCCGCTTTTGTCAAAGATGCGTTGCGCGGCTGATGTTTGCTACAGTTTTTTTCCCCACCTACCGCGACGTCAGCCATAGTGGGCTTCACCAACTCCCACCAACCCTCACATTCCACCGCGTCTTTAAATTGCACCTTCGACCCATCAACCGCTCGCTTTCCCTTTCCTTCTCCGTTTTCCCCCTTGCCCTTACACCCTATGCGAGCACTATGCCATCGCCCTGGGAGGCCTTTGGAGCAAAGGCAACTACGTGAAGCTGCCGTGGGGAACGTTGAGGGCGGCAAACGAGCTGTATATAGGGGTGGGAGCGTTGTGAACTAGGTAAGTGGGTTTAGTGCTATGTTTTTAGGCCTAATTGGAATTTAATGGAATGCTGTCAAGGGAAAGAATGAATGGAGAATAAATTGTAAATTTTAAGAGAAATCATAGAGCTTTTTTTTTTTATGTCACACTTGCTAGCTTATTCAATGAGATTTGAGTCAATTCATGAGCATGTAGCACGACGATGACACCTAGAAGTTCCAGCAACATTGAGGCGGTTGCCCGACACTTTTCACTAGTCAAACGGCGCCCGTTGGGGCCCAAATCCGCCTCAAACAAATGATATGCATGTCTAGTTAAAGCTTGTTTCTTGCACCATGTTATAATATCATGAAAATTAAGAGATATGACCCCTGATGCGAGATATGTCATTACCACGGTTGCTATGAATTTTCAGCAACTGTGACCCTGTTTGGGCTGCATTTTTGGCAAGGTAAATGACACCTAAATGCCCCAAATTGCCACCATGTAAAGCCTTGTGAATGAATGAAAGGTTGCGTATTTTAGGATTTTTGAATTTCCTATGAATCTTGATTTATGTTTGAAAACGTAAGATCGCACCTCAATCTCAGGTGTCAGAATTGGCCTTCTTGAGAAATGAAGCATCTAACTCTCTCATTTAGCTATTTATTGAAGCATTAAGGCTTAATGAATGAATAATGAATATGAATGCTATATGATAATTGTCATGTGCATACTACGAGATGATGAGAGTCATGCTACTTAACATTATGCTATGTGAAAAGTAGATGGTGTAATAATGACACACGATGAAAGCTTTAGGATGATTGTCAAAACACTAGGAACGATGTTGATGTGTGAATATTATACTATGAATCATGAGATGAATGGCTAGTTATGACTTCCATACTGTTATGATATTGTTTAATGAGTATGCTAACCACTATGCATTGGGACCCGAGCCCATTGGTAGTGGATACTGTACTGTTATGCTAACCACTACGCATTGGGACCCAAGTCCATTTGTACTGGATACTGTGTTGTTATGCTGATCACTACGCATTGGGACTCGAGCCTTTCGGTAGTGGATACTGGACTTAATGATGAGAAACTGGCCGCTAAGTGGTGAGACCCGAGCTTATCGGTAGTGGAGCTAGGTTCAACGAGATAGTGATGTCTACGTATTCCCTAGCCTGCACAATGACAGAAGCATGTTAGGGGAGCAAAGAGGGTCGCTCCCTATGATTCATGATCTGAGATATGAGATCTGATGTGATGCCTTGAAAGGTGACGGCATGTCGAACCCCCAATGCGCGTTGGGGACCGGGTGCATGAGTTGAGGTCTTACGATGCGAATTGCCCTGCATGTCATCACCCTCCCTCCTGTGGGATGGTAGGAGCCCTAAGAAATGGAATTGGCATAGCCTGATAGATAGGGCTTCTATTAGCAGGAGTAGATGAGTTAGGGAGTGAGTATGAGATGCGTATATTGAAATTATGATTTCTTTTGTACTGCCTGCCTAGTGTTGCTCATATTGGATGTACTTTTATATTAGATATCATGTTATATCGGCTTCATTGATTTGATAACCAATATGCTCGATTACTGCACTATTATAAATAATGATTCATGACACTATTCCTTGCACCTGAGTATCCATGCATAATACTAGATCTGCTTACTGCGCTTCAAAGCTTATTCCACTATATTTTTCTCCCTGTAGATTGAAAGCAACAGGTTACCAGTTGGAGGTGTGGGCTGCAACTGAAGACTGAAGCGACTACTCTTCAAAGAAGCTCGAGAATCTAGTAGGTTCTGGGCCCTCTGCCCTACTTAGATTGTTTCTTAGGAATTTTGTAATTATGGGCCTTGGTGCCTTGAACTTGATTGTAGATGCCAGTTCAGTCCACCCCTACCCCGGAGTAGGGCGATAGTATCTTGATTGAGAGGAGCCCTCAACCTTTATGGGGCAAGGAGGAGTAGAGAAGGCTGAAAGATGGAAGAGGCAGATAGAGAAGATTTTGGAAGTGGTGCACTGCTTGGATGAGCAAAAAGTTAGACCTGAGACATTCATGCTAGAAGGACAAGCCGAACATTGGTGGAATTTGGTAAAACAAACCTGGAGGGAGTTAGGAACCGAACCCACTTGGGAGAACTTTCTGGCAGCCTTTGATGAGAAATAATTTCCAAACTAAATCAAGGAAAGGAAATAAGTAGAATTTATAGAACTCCAACAGGGGAACATGATTGTGGAGCAATATGCTGCCAGGTTCGCAGAGCTCTCTAGGTACGTGCCCCATATTGTAAACACCGAGGCATGGAAGGCAGCCAAGTTTGTAAGGGGCCTATGGCTAGATATAAGGGATAGAATGATGTCGGCCAACCTAAAGTCATATGCCCCGATGGTAGACTTCGACCTAAAAATTGAAAGAGACTGTGAGGACCACCGATCAATGAAGGAGGGAAGAATGAAGGCTGCGTTGTCGGGGAGGCTTGGGAAAACACCCCGGCAAGTTCCGAGAAGAGAAGTGAGAAAGAGGCCATATCAACTAAACCCTAGAACCCAGAAGAATTCCCCGGGTGGCACGAGCAATGATCAACGCTCGGTTTGTACTCACTGTGGGAAAGACAACCGCACTGCCGAAGATTGTTACCGGAAGAAGAATGTGTGCCTAAGATACGGCAAGCTGAGTCACTCGGCTAGGAACTGCTCAATGATGAAGACTGAGGATCGCTTACAGAATCAAGGACGAGTGTTCGCCCTCACAGAGCAAGAGGCCAAGGTATCCACCTCAATCATCCGAGGTACACTCTCAATTTGTGATGTTAAAGCTAGAGCCTTAATTGACCCTGGATCTTCTCACTCGTTTCCCATTTTGCGTGCCATTTGAATGTTATACCTGCACACCTTAACTACACCCTAGTAGTATGCACACTAATGGGAGGCTCTATGGAGTCAGATAGAGCGTATAAGTAGTGTACGGTTTCAATTGATGGTTGTGATCTGCCAGTAGATCTAATTCACCTAGATATTCAAGACTTTGATATCATCATGGGCATGGATTGGTTGTTTACGTATCGTGCCACCATCGACTTTCATGAAAGGTTAGTGACCTTTAAACATCCAAATCAAATAGAATTACAGGGCATTAAAGATACTTCCCCTTTGCATGTTATCTCTGCCTTCCGAGCCTCTCACCTCCTGGCTAAGAGATGCGTAGGGTATTTGGCCTATGTTGTAGAGAATAGGGGTGTTCTGTACAAGCTAGAAGGAATATCAATGGTAAAAGAGTACTCTGAGGTATTCCCCGAAGAGTTGTCATCCCTGCCTCCAGTAAGAGAAATTGACTTTGAGATATATGTATCCCCAGGTACTGCACCCATCTCCAAAGTCCCGTATAGAATGGCTCCAGTAGAGTTGAGGGAATTAAAAGACCTGCTGCAGGAATTGTTGAATAAGGCGCTCATTCGACCCAGCGTATCACCCTTGGGTCAACCAGCCTTGTTTGTGAAAAAGAAGGATGGGTCCCTGAGTCTGTTTATTGACTATAGACAGTTGAACCAAGTGGCGGTGAAGAATAATTACCCTCTACCAAGAATTGATGACTTCTTTGATCAACTCCAGGGAGCTTTTCTAAGATCGATCTCCACTCAGGATATCACCAACTAAGGGTGAGGGAAGGGAACGTCCCAAAGACTGCCTTCAGAACTCGATACGGTCATTACGAATTCCTTGTGATGCCGTTTGGGTTAACCAATGCCCCTGCTGCATTCATGGATCTTATGAATAGGGTGTTTCGACCTTTTCTGGATGACTTTGTGGTGGTCTTTATTGATGATATTCTGGTATACTCAAAAAGCTGAGAGTTACATGAGCAACATCTAAGATTTGTTTAGCAAACTTTAAAGTCAGAAAAGTTGTATGCCAAATTTAGTAAAAGTGAGTTTTGGCTTCCCAACGTAACCGTCCTGGGTCACATTATTTCCCAGGATGGGATCAAGGTCGACCCCTCCAAGGTTGAAGCCCTACTTAGATGGGAGAGGCTAGCCAATTTGATTGAAGTTCATATTTTCCTGGGGTTAGCTGGATACTCCAGGCGCTTTGTAGAGGGATTTTCAAAGAGGATGCTTCCCTTAACTTGGCTGACCCAGAAGAACGTAAAATTCATATGGTCAGAAGATTGTGAGAGAAGTTTTCAAGAACTTAAAAAGAGACTGACCACTGCCCCAATCTTGACATTGCCTGATGGAAATGAAGACTTCGTGATTTATACTGATGCATCTCATAAAGGGCTTGAGAGTGTACTAATGCAGAGAGGCAAGGTTATTGCTTATGCCTCCAGGCAATTAAAGCTGCACGAGTAGAACTATCCCACTCATGATTTAGAACTCGTGACTGTAGTATTTGCACTAAAAATCTGGAGTCACTACCTCTACGGAGCCCAGTTTAAGGTGTTCACAGACCACAAGAGCCTCAAGTACTTGTTTTTCCAAAAAGAGTTGAACATTAGGCAAAGGAGATGGATGGACCGACTAAATGACTATGACTGCACAATCGAATACCATCCATGTAAGACTGATATAGTAGCCGATGCCTTAAGTTGGAAAACCATGGTCTCCGTGGCATGATTGATGATGCGAGAAATGAAATTGTTGGAGGATGTAGTGAAATGACACCCATCTCAACCTCTCAGTGAAGGGAGGGAAGTACTGTCATGTCTAAGGGTGGTGCCCCAACTCTTCCAACAAGTCTGAGAGGCTCAAAAAGAAGATCCCCACCTGATGAAAATCCTCGAAGAACTAAAGATAAAAGTGAAAGAGGATTTTTCTGCAGGCAGTGATGGACTGTTAAGGTTTAAGGGCCAAGTATGTATTCCCAATGATGAAAGTGTAAAAAGGACCATTCTGAAGGAAGCACACCACTCTCGCTACATGATACATCCTAGGGGTACGAAGATGTATTAGGATTTGAAAAGAGCATTATAGTGGAACAACATGAAGAGAGACGTGATAGAGTTTGTGGTAAATGTCTAACGTGCTAACAAGTAAAGGCCAAACATCAGAAACCTGCTAGATTATTACAGTCTTTACCCATACCAGAGTGGAAATGGGAATGCATTGTAATGGATTTTTTCTCTAGGTTACCAAGATCTAGTGCAGGGCATGATAGTATCTGGGTTGTGGTGGACTGACTGACTAAGGCTGCTCTCTTCTTACAGGTTCGCACGACCTATGCATTCGACAAGGTAGCCCAACTATACATCATAGAAATTGTGAAACTTCATGAGATTCCTATTAGCATTGTATCAGACAGAGACCCCAGGTTTATCTCTAGATTTTGGGCAAGTTTGCAATCAGCCATGGGGACTGAGCTTACTTTTAGTATCGCCTTCCACCCCCAAACGGATGGGCAATTAGAGAGGACCATTCAAACCTTAGAAGACATGTTAAGGGCTTGTGTGTTAGATTTTAAATGAAGCTGGGAAGACCACCTGCCCCTAATAGAGTTTTCCTACAACAACAGCTTCCAAACTAGTATTCAAATGGCTCCTTATGAGGCCTTATATGGAAGGAAGTGTAGATCACCCATCTGTTGGGATGAAGTGGGCGAAAGAAAATTGTTGGGGCCTGAAATTGTTCAAATAACCTCTGAGAAGATTGCTTTAATTAGAGAGCAGCTCAAGACATCCCAAAGTCGGTAAAAGAGTAATGTCAATAATCGCAGGAGACCTCAAATTTGAGGTGGGAGACTGAGTCTTCCTAAAGGTATCGTCGACCAAAGTTGTTACAAGATTTGGTAGGAAAGGGAAATTAAGCCCACGATTCATTGGGCCATTTGAAATTTTGGAAAGGATTGGAAGTGTGGCGTACCAACTCGCCTTGCCACCAGAATTGACCGACGTTCATGGTGTCTTTCATGTGTCCCTACTAAGGAAATATCAGCCGGTCCCTTCCCATATTTTGGAGTACGAACCGATCCCACTCTGAAAAGACTTGACTTACATCGAGCAACCGATTGGAATATTAGACCGAAAGATACAAGTATTGCAAAATAAATAAATTCCACTGGTACGAGTGCAATGGCAATACCACAAGAGGGAAGAGTCAACTTCGGAGCGGGAAGATGAAACTAGGGAGAAATACCCCCACCTCTTTGAGTGATGATTTTTGGGACAAAATCCCTTTTAAGGGGGGGATGATTTTAGGGCCACCATTCAATTGAGCCTGACCTCTCGCAATAGTGAAGAGAAGGGAGCCTTAAGAGGTAAAAGTGCACGCCCGGCAGTGAGGACAAAAGGTAAGCATCGACCGTATAGCAGTAGAGACGATGCGCATGCAAGAAGGAGCATTGCCACGGAAAGAAAGGGCTAATGCCACATGCAAAGTGGAATAACGCCATGCGAGAAAGAGGGGTATAGCCGGCTGAGCACCTAGACTTTTCGCCGCCTGGATTAAGGACGCGACAGAGAGGAGAAAGAGAGAGGCGAAAAGCTATCGCCTCGCGGAAAAGGTGAAAGGCTATCGCTGCGTGCATTAAGCATTGAACGAAGGCCGACAGCGTCAGCGCCGCGTCGCTTTTGGAAAAGATGCGCCACGCGGCTGATGCCCGCTACAATTTTCTTCCCCACGTACCGCGACATCAGCCACTGTGGGCTTCGCCAACTCCCACCAACCCTCACGTTCCACCGTGTCTTTAAATTGCACCTTCAACCCATCGACCACCCGCTTTCCCTTTCCTTGTCAGTTTTTCCCCTCGCCCTTACACCCTATGCGAGCACTGCAACATCGCCGTGGGAGGCTTCAAGAGCAAAGGAAACTGCGTAAAGTTGTTGTGAGGTACGCTGAGGGCGGCGGACGAGTTGTATGCAGGGGTGGAAACGCCGTGAACTAGGTAAGTGGGTTTAGTGCTATATTTTTAGGCCTAATTGGAACTTAATGGAATGTTGTCAAGGGAAAGAATGAATGGAGAATAAATTGTAAATTTTAAGAGAAATCGTAGAGCTTTTTCTTTTGTGCCAAACTTGCTAGCTTATTCAATGAGATTTGAGTCAATTCATGAGCATGTAACACGACGATGACACCCAGAATTTCCAACAACATTGAGGCGGTTGCCCGATACTTTTCACTAGTCCAACGGAGTCCGTTTGAGCCCAAATCAGCCTCAAACAAATGATATGCATGTCTAGTTAAAGCCTGTTTCTTGCTCCATGTTATAATATCATGAAAATTAAGAGATATGCTGATGCGAGATATGGCATTACCACGGTTGCAGTGAATTTCCAAAAACTGTGACCCTCTTTGAGCTGCATTTTTATAAAGCCTTGTGAATGAATGAAAGATTGCATGTTTTAGGATTTTTGAAATTTTCTATGAATCTTGATATATGTTTGAAAACGTATGACCATATCATTACTCATCATTATTGTTTGTTTAAGATCACGCCTCAATCTCAGGTGTCAGGATTGGCATTCTTGAGAAGTGAAGCATCTAATTCTCTCATTTAGCTATTTATTGAAGCATTAAGGCTTAATGAATGAATAATGAATATGAATGCTATATGATAATTGTCATGTGCATACTACGAGATGATGAGAGTCATGCTACTTAACATTATGCTATGTGAAAAGTAGATGGCGCAATAATGACACACGATGAAAGCTTCATGATGACTGTCAAAACACCAGGAACGATGGTCATGTGTGAATATCATACTATGAATCACGAGATGAATGCCTAGTGATGACTTCCATATTGTTATGATACTGTTTAATGAGTATGCTAACCACTATGCATTCGGACTCGAGCCCATTAGTAGTGGATACTATACTGTTATGCTAACCACTATGCAATGGGACCCAAGCCCATTGGTAGTGGATGATATGTTGATCAC